AGATACATTTTTAAATTTTGGTTGAAGATTTTTGATCCAAGATACAAAATTCAATGTTTTATTTTGTTTTATTTTATGTACATACATATTTCAAATTCTTAACCAAAACTGCTTTACAAAATTCAAAACACATTGATTAACCAACCAATCAAGAATTAATTTTGATCAAAATTCTAAAAGCAAATCTGAAAAATTGAGAAAAAACACTCAAAAAAGAATCTAATTTCATGATCATTGATTTTCATATTAGATTCTTGCCATCTTTCTTCTTTGGTTTCCTATCACTTGACATACTAGAATGCAAAATATAAATCAAATTGCTAATATAAAAAAATAAATCCAATAGGATCTTCAATACTTAAGTCACCCTTGGAGTTTTCTTGACCAAAACTTTCAGATTCATTGATTCTTTACTTTCTTCTTCCATTCCATCTTGTTCTAAAGTTTCATAATTAAATTTGGTACCTCCTTTTTAATTGGATTGTATAAATTGTTAGGTTTGGTTTGAGACATTGGTCCACAGATTAATACTTCTCCTGTAAATTTGGCTTGGATTAGAATGGAATTTATAAAAGATTTTGATACAATCAATTTAATTTCTCCAATAAAAATCGTGGAAGAAGTGATAGGTAATGCATCCAATTGATGTGTTACATCTAAATTAAATCCTTCATCTTTAGTATCTTTTGGTTCAGATGTACGTTCATTATATTGGGTTAATTGGGTACTATTATTTAATCCATTGGGTGATTTTTCTAAAGTTGCAATTGATGATCCATCTAACACTTGTAAGTTTCCAGTTGAATAACCTACTTCAAATCCTTTGACCTAATTATAAACAAAGGCAGATTTAGAATCAGATCTGATATAACAGAGATTGAATTATGATCAAAATTCATTTTTACCTTTGATAATTTGATACTAGACATCAAGACACCACTTAATCACTTAATCTAACCTTGAAACTTTTTGTGTCATGTCCAATTACAGAACATTCTCCAATTTTGGGCAAAAAGATTTGGGTTATAAATGTAGGAATTGCAGAAACATTTCCAATGAATTCTTGTTGTGTTTCACCTGGACCATTGATCAAAACCTGCTGTTATGAAGAAGTATCAAACAAAATTATAAAATAAAACTTTCTCAGTCTTCTTCATGTTTCTTACTCGATCTTACAACTGTATCTTGTGATTTCTTCAAGGAGATGACTTAGTACTGTTTGAGGATTGATAAGTGGAATAATTGTTTGCAATGCTCTTTCATCTGCTTTACTTTCTAAATCAATTGCCAATACTTGACATACCACGTTAACTTCTGCGGTTTCAGAAATGAATTTATGAAGTGATTCTTCGAATCCCTGTTAATACGAACAAATCACATCACATCAAAATTCCAAACTATTGATGAACAATCCATTTGATTGATTTATTGCATATCTGAAGACTCACTTTCTCTCCTTTCTCCTCCCCACTTTGGTTTCTTTCAAACATTTTCATTCTTAATTGTACTCTACTGTACAGCATCACCTCTCCTCAACTATTCATCTACATTCAATATTTCACCATACACATTTACTTTCCTTTTCCAAATAAATCCCTTACAGTGGAACTCATCGGTTGACCATGTGTTGACCATGGTCCTTTCATCTTTGCTTGAATACTCATTGCCCCAGTGTGGACCAGAGACATTTATAAACAGATTCACGGCGCATACTTATGCATCATCATTCCATTGGTCTGAGTGTGTGCCCCAAGGATCTCTTAGGGGGTTGGGTGCATTGCTGGTGTCTCTGCACGTGATTAGATTTGTGCTGAGAACCCTGGATCTTGCATTCCATCCTACCACTACGTAGGGATATTAAGTCTACAGTACATATGTGCGCAGTAAACCTTATAACCTTATGTGTTTTTTGGGGGGGACCCCAATGGGGGGTGAGGTGTAAGTAATCCTAATGGATCCTTACTAATTCACCACCATTGGGGTGAGAACGGACTGTAAAACCTGGGGGTTTCTCGACCCCATCCACTCACAGGCGGTGAGCCTTGAGCCTCAAGAAACGCCCCTACTCTACGTGTGTGAGTGGTTTGCTTGTAGTTGTCCATCCGTCTGCCCCAAAAGGGATTAAGGTTTACACATGGTGTTACCTGTATCATTTTGATCTGCCAGGATCTGCCTATCTCTGTATTTCACATCTCCTCTCACTTGGACTGATCCTTTGTCTTTCCTTTCCCCATTCTTTTCCCAATCTAATCTCTCTATTTGTTCCTGAGTTGATTCTCTCTGAGCAGTCGGATTGTGTTTCTTTGTTCTACGCAATCAAACTTTCAGAGGTATATGAGGTAAGTGTCTGATTTTCAACGTCCTGCCCTTTTGATCTTGTCCTTGTCTACCCCGAGGTTCCGTCAGAGTGATGCTCCTCCAATCCTGAAGGAGTGTCCATAGAGTAGCTGTTTGTTCTTTGGTCTCTCTCGGTTCCAGATGTTCCTCAGTTTACTGATTACCTCGCTCTTTGTCAGTTTGGTTTTCTTTCCATCAACTAGGATCTTGAAGATATTGTCTAATTCTTTTTGGGCTTGGAATTTGTAGAACTCTCCTAGGGCTACTAGAGGGTCTAGCCTTGATTTCTGCCTTTCCAGGTGAAGGTGTTGGACCTCCCCAGGGGCTGCCGTTTTTGCATTCAGCATTCCTATCCTAGCAAATTTACCATTCTTTGCCCACTTGATGTCCTGCCACTTTGGTACCCGTCTTGACTGATCATCTACTACGAGTTCCCCAAGCCTAGCTGTACCCCAGAAGGCCACAAGGGCAATTGCCTTCAGCGCAAGGTCCTCTTTGATTGACGGCAACAAGGAATTGACCAATGTGACTAGCACTGCCAGCATAGATACCTCGGGTTGAGAAATCCGAGGCGTCATCAAAAGCAAATCCTTGGGCAGACCTTGTCCAAGGTTTTTGCCCTGAGAATTACCTCAGATCAAAACCTCGGGAAGCTTCTGTCCAAGGTTTTGCATCTGAGGATACCTCGGATTTTGTAATCCGAGGATAAATATGTTGGCGGTGTAGATTGAATATCAGTACCGGTGGCCTTTTAACGTTCCTGTCATAGAGCAAGGCTTTGATCCTCATAGCAGACCGTAGTAGCGTATTCACAGTGTTGTCTGCCTGATGAGGGCATTGTCCTCCGTGGAACATGTGCCAGGCTTTGACTCCTGCAATGTACGCCTTCATAGTGGAGGATTTCACCAACTTGTCTTTTTCCGCTCTTTCCTCAATCTTCTTGGATCCCCAGGCGACGAAACGAATTAATGTCGTCTTTGACTTTGTAGAGGCAGATCTTCTGCCTCTACATTCTTCACTTTGGCAAACCTGAAGAGTTTCACTATTGCTGAGTTGTAGTGCTTCAGGGTTCTGTCCGCCCATGTGCCGCTCAAGAACTGGTGTTGTACCTCGTCTGTCTCCAATATATCTACGCCCCGTGCATTTTTCTTGAATCTACCAAAGGGTTTTGTGCTTGGTTCTACCCGAGTTTCTTTCATGGATGATGGCTCCGGTAGCGGTGCGTGAGGAGGGTACAGGTTCAGTTTTTGTTTTTCACAGGAGTTGCAGTGCTCTGGATCTCAGATGTGTCTCACGGTTTTCTAGGACAGGGAGGGAGTTATGTTTTCTCTGACTGCTTACGGCTTCTAATCCTGAGCGCGGCAGTTATCTCCAGGGGGGGGGAACTCTCAGCATGAACGGGTGAGGCATATATGGGCTCAACTTTTGGGTTCATTCTCACAGTGGGTTCCTCTTTCTTTCATTTTGTCATGTTTCATTGCATCATGGCTGAAATGTCTTTCTGTTCATGTGAACATAATCTTCTTGCCTCTTTCCGCATTAATACACTGGACTTAATGCAGCAGGGGGTGTAGGTCCATTAAGGGGCGGACTTTGAATTCTCTCAGGCAGATTTCCCATTCTACCAGGTCTTCGACTACGTCTTTGGGGTCACCCAAGTATGTAGCCACCTATATATGGAATTGAGGTGTGGGCCATGTGTGGCACGATATTGGTGGTGTGCACCAACCTTCTGATGAAGCTGCAAATTTGTGAGTGGGTCCAGCTGGAGTTGGAGTCAAGGATTTGCTCAATTTGCTGACGGCGTTGTTCCAACTTCTCTTCAGGGAGTCTGACGGTGTTCTCCGTCCCATTCCATATAAAGCCCAAGTATTGCTGTTCTGGACAAAAGTCTTGGTTTTTCTTTGGGTTTGTTCTGACTCCTAGAGAGTCGCTCAAGTCCGTGATGTCCTTTAGCAATATTGTCTGCCATTCTCTCCTGAATATGAGATTGACGTCGACCCATTGGCAAATCTTTTTGATTCCAAATTGGCGTATAACTATCTCCCTCCATATATTTGAGGAGTGGTGACGACAGGACTAGGAATCACTCTAGTCCATGTCACATCGCAGAAAGCTCTTCCCAGGCCCAAGAGCCTTGGACGTGAAAGGCTTAGGAGACAGTCTGATCCCGCACCGGTAGAAGCGGTTGATCAGTCTTGCCCTGGGAATGACAAATATTTGTTCCAGGAGGTAGCCTCCAGAGTTGTCCTTCCCTCCCTTGTTCTTTCAGTGCGGAGCTGTGATTGTCTGGTGTGTACCACTGGAGGCCTGGGATCTCAGGTTCTGGGATGCCCAGGCAGAACCCACTCTTGAATCCATCTATGATATAAGGGATGTCGTCGGCGAGTTTGCTCTCCTCCAGGAGTGTCCTCCATCCTTCAATCTTCATTTCACTCTTCACCAGAACTGGCCAGGGCTCCTGAACTGGTATGGAATAGATCTTTCTATCTTTCAAAGGTAGGGGAGGCTTCCGTTTCTTATGTGTCAACTGGGGAGTAGGCTTTCCCTCTTCTTTGTCGGAGTCTTCTTGGGAGTCTTTCACATCTCTGAGGTCTATGGTGAGTGAGTTCTCTGCCACTCGTTTACCCTTCTTTTCACCCTCAGGTTCCTTCCTCACTTCGCAGAGGTATATGATTTCATCATTGATACCAGTCCTGCTCATGGTCACTAAGATGTGTGTGCACGTCCTGTAAAGCAGGAGGAGTTTAATGGGGCAATTGGGGGGGGGGGTGTAGCATCAATGACCAATTGTGAGTCTTTCCATTCAAATTATTTCCAATTATCTGAAGTGACATACAAAAAATACAATTATTGCCAGAAAATTACAAGGTTGCATAGTATAATCCATCAATCCCAACACACAAATTGTTTTGTCAGATTGTTATCAGGATAGCCAGGATCTGTAATGGTTTTGGGTGTGTGGATAACCCCGTGAGAATTTTTGGGTAAGTATGGGGGATGGGAGATTTCTTTTTCTGTCAGATTCTCCCTTCCTTCCCTCTAGGGGTATGTGCAGCGTAGGAGGCTTACCTCAAGGCTTGGTTTTTATGAGTGTTATTCACTCCTTTTGGCACATGGCCTGCATGCTGGCTTGCATGTTGTTGTCCCGACGAAACCCGGTCCTGTTCCCCTTGAGCTGGTCCCAATTGGGGATTGCTATTCTGGTGGTACGGCTTCCCGTGACCCTTCCTGGTTCCATTTGGGTTTCCTCCCTTCTGGTACGAGCTAATCAACTGGTTGTGTTGGCCGCCAGAGGTCCGCCTGAAGTTGTTAGGTTGGTGTCTCAAAGGTCTCCACTGTGTTGTTTCCTCCCCTTGGTGCGATGTCTCCATCTGTTCACCGGTCAGGAAATCAAAGCCATGTTTTGGGCCTCCCGACGCGTAGGGGTTTCCTTCACATTGTAAATCTCCCGCCAGATGCGCCTCCCACTGTGGCTCTTCTTCCACCTCTGGCTGAACCCCTTTTGGCAAGACCACCTTATCTTTTATCTTACGTTTCTTCTTGTTGATCTTGGTTGAGTATTGTCTCAAAATGTAACAGTCCAGATGGCTAGGTGGTAGCGTAAGGCGACCATCCACGAATTGTACTTTGTCATGATCTTGCTGACAACCTCTTTATGCATCCCTATGTACCTCACGTACTTCTTCCTCCTGAAGATCTCTGTTGCGTATCGGGTCTCTACGTCGCAGGCTTGCATAAATTTGCCATACGTCATCTGCCTTTCTAGATCAACTTCTGATACCCCTGGAATCCCAAGTTGTTTTGATCCCGGGTGTTGTTTGCGGTTGAGTGAGTGGAACTTATTGATATAGTTCTTATTGAACACGTAGAGGGGTACATAATACCTGAGTTTCTTGAAGCCTTTAGCCCAGCAGCGGGGTAGGTCTCTCAGAGTGAAAGAGGACGATTTCCCCGACTTCTTGTTTTTCTTTTTCTTCTCTCCTTTGGAACTGTCACTCGAAGAAGGAGATGTCGTGGCTGAGGATGACAATGAAGAGCTGGATGAGGAGGAGCTGATTGAGTCCTTTTCCCCTGAAGAATCTGTCGATGAGTCGTCGTCGGACAAGTCTGACGATTCAGAGCTATCACTTTCCGACCCTGAGGTCTCAGAAGATGAAGAGGAAGGTGATCGTTTTCTCTTAAGTTTCTTCTTTTTCTGTTTTTCTTTTTCTTCTCCTTCTCCTTTGCTCTCCCCTTTTTCTCTTCCTTGTCCCCCTTACTATTCTTCCCTGCTCTGCTAACTTTGTTTCCAAACCTTTCATTGTAC